TTGGGAAGTCTGTACCTCTCAAATACCCCAGGCAATGGGGAAAGAGAGAGGGAAATGCAGCCAGGAAATTAGGATAAAAAGGAGGCTGCATCCTCCAAAACTTTGAGAGACCCCAGGGGAATACCCCATGGCCTCTCCCTTTATTTGAATAAAGTAAAAGGACTCCTCTGTCTCCTTTTTGGACATAAACCTCTAATGTTTGTGGATTAATTTTCCTGATAATGTCTATTCTGGGAATTTACATTCGGCAAGTGCTGGAGGTCTCTCTAGGTAGACTGTTATAAACACCCACACAAATGAACCAGAAAAATAACTGCCTAGAATTCTAAAAACTAACATTTTTGGTGAGAAAATAAAGCTGGCAGAGACAGAGTGGAAGCAGCAGCCCCTGGGGGTTTGAAGATGACAGGCAGAGCCAAGGCAGGGCAAAGTGAGATCCCAAAACAGGAGTGCACACCGAAGAGAATGGTGCAGGACCTGCAGAGAGGTGGCTACAAAAGGAGGGATCTTCCTCTCCTGACCTGAGTCAGTGACCACGGGCCTCATTTACAGCCTCAGAGAGGAAAAACCCTCGGATGAAGACTCACCCTTTGTGTCTGCAGCTCTGCACAGCCACATCACCACACAGAGAGTGCTAAATAAATAAACAAAATTCTGAATATTTTTCTGAAGGGGCAAAAAGTAGGGCAGCATTGTGATTTTTGTCAGCAAAGGTGCTGCAGGAACCCATTTGTGTCAGTTTGTGACACAAAGGCTTTGTGTTGATGGGGCCACGACGCAGCCAATGACGTTTAAAATCCCAAATACCCAATAGCCCTAAACTGCAACCATGGCAGCTGAGTGCCACCAAACCTCCAGCTTCTAATAAAGGCTGAATAGAACAAGTTTGACTTTGCAGATTGACTGCAGTGGTGCTCCAGTGAGTGAAGATGTTCTGCTGGCTTTTAAAGCAATTGTTGCTGAGGGAAAGGTCTCTGAATCGTTCATTTTGAAGTAATCAGGAAAGCTGTGCTTGGCTGACAGGGAGAACTAAGGGGAGAAAACTAGGGCACACAAGGAGCTCAGAGCAGATGGGTGCCAGCAACAAAGAACAAACCTGTAGCCATGTGAACACGGGATTTAACTGCAAACACCTCCAAAAAAAAAAGGTGGTTTTTTTTTAATGTGCCACTTCCTTCAGGTGCTGTTCCCAAATGACTCTGGGTAGGGCATGGGTCCTGCTACAGTGTCACCCACCTCCTCTGGCAAAGTTCATGTTCAAAAGAAAGATTTCAGACAAGGTGCTAAACTGAAGTGAAAAAGAATATGGAAACTGAAATCTTCCTCTGTTGAGAGCAGCTAAGTCATACGATGCTGCCACAGGTCTCTGTGTGAGTTACTGAAAACTTGACCACAATGCTATTTAACAGCTTGGAAAACAGAAAATAAAACACAAGAACCAAGCCTGGCTCCCTGTGTTAAACCCAGGCAGAATGATGATCTCCAGACCCAGATTCAGCTTCCAAGAGGTTGCCCCCACTGCCAGACTGAGCCCAAAAATGAAAATTCACTACTCAGGGGTGATGGTTGCTAAACCTTCCTTAAGAAAAAAGTTAAGGTGAGAGTTTCAGAAGCTCTCAGATGATTTTTTCCAAGCAGCACTCTGCCAGAAACAAGAGTCCTCTTTGGGCAGAAGAGTCCATTATTGTTCTGCCAGCTTTTTTCCCTCATCTGAGCCTTCTCCTAAAGCATTTGGAAGCTGCCAGTGTTGGTATATGAACATGAGCTGCCCAACTCCCACCCATGGATGCTCCCTGCCCCAGCACACTTCACCTGCTACACAATGGGAACTACAGATGTGTCCTCAGCACCAGAAAAAAACAGCCAGACAAACAGACTTTGCTGTAAAATATCTGTCCCTGCACTTTCTGTGCTGCAGCACTGAGTGCATTCAAGTTCTAGAAGGAGCTGGGTTAGCACTCAGGTGCTGTAGAAGAGGCTGCTCCTTTTTTCCAGTGTTTGCCATCCTTGGGTGCTCCTTCCCCTGCCAGTGAATGGTAAATTTTCCTATTTTTCATGTCATAAAATTTCATTTCATAAAATGCCCATGTACCAGAGGTGGGCAGGGTAAGGAAACAAAGTACTTTTCTGCTGGAGATCAGTGTTTCTATTCACCTAGCTGTGATAACTTCTTGTGATCTCCCTTTGCACACCCATTGTGGCAACCAAAAATTCCCCTTGGAGAAGCCACCAAAGACAGGCCCTTGTAGGATCCTGTTCCCACCTGAGTTTGGTCCCTCAGGCTTCCTTCACCATGTGCTTCTGTCTCAGAGCATAACAGAAGGTTGTTTTGGTAAGCAGCAGCTTTGAGGGATTCAGTACTAGAACACCACGATCGAAATGAGAAGCTGGAAGTCTTGAATTAAAATATTTCAATGCAGATGAGCCAAATATCTTAATTGCAGAAAGATATTTCCGCAGTGTCTGTGGCAGAAATTCTAGGAAATTCCCAGGGGTCTGACTTGCCACCAGTGTGGACTGACACTCCAGTCTGTGCTGTTTGCAGAAAGCTTAATGAGAAGTAAATTTGGTAAGTAAAATGCAGCTCCTTCTGCCACAAAATGAGATTTCCCCTGCTTCTTACCCTTTTTGAGACTTGGCATCATGCCCCATCCAAGGAATGCTTCACCAAGAAGCAGAATATGAGTTTCAAAGAACAGAAGGAGCAAAATCAACAGGTTTACTGTCACTTCTGTTTCTTCTTTAAGTACTTTGGGATTACTGTCTGATTCTTACACAGGAGAAAGACAAAAAAGCACCTGCAAGACTCTTCATGAAGCCACAAAATCTGCTTCGTATTTTATTGTAGGGATGTCATGGGGATATGAAATAAGGTCTTAGGAACAGGTGGAGCTTTATTCTGTCTGCCCAGCAGAGCAAAACAGGCAGTGGGACAAGAGAATGACTCTGCTAGAAAGAATTGGGGAAAACAATGCAAACTCTGAGGGGTGTTTTAGCTGTCAGAAGCTGACAATGGATCAGCTTCATGTTTTGATAATGTTTTCTTATTGTGGAAGAGAGAACATTGACTTTTTTCTCAGCCTTCCCATGTGTGTGCAGGCACAGGCTTGAACAGGAATGTCAGGAATCCAGAAAAGCCATCACACAGAGTTAACAGTGCATAATAAAATTCACAGATCTTGAAAAGATCTACAAGGCACAGGAAAAAAAAAAAAAAAAAAAGACACAGAACCAAATGCAGCTATGAAATTTAAAATGCACTAAACAACTGAAATGGATGCAATTAGTGTCAGTTTGACTAATCCAGCCTGTGACAGCTTTTCTGCCCCTAAATGAATCTGGCAACACTTCCCACCAAGCCCTTCCTGAAGGCTGTCCCATGGGCAGATGTCACCCACTCACCTGGGCAGATCCCTGCACCCTCCCATGCTCCATGAGCCCATCTCTTACTCCACCCACCTCCCTGACATCCCATGCCTTTCAGCCTGCATTCCAAAGCAGGATTTAAATGGATAGCTGTTAGAAAATTATATTTCCTTTATTTTCAGGTGCTCTTTATTTTATGAATCCATTTGGAGAGCGCAGTGGATGGGAATTGCCTGTGAGGTATATTAAGTTTTGCAGTGCTGCTAATGAGAAGTGTATGGTTGGGTTATTTTATAACATTAACTGCCACATAAAATGCCTAAAGTAATTTATGTTGCCACTCAGGCTGTGAAGGGCTCCTGCTCCTCCTCTTCCCTTCCTGATCTGTGGACAAAAATTGGCACTGGGAGGCATCAAGTTTTTGGGAAGATAATTCCTTCAATTTAGTATTATTTCCAGGGCTATAAAACTTAACATAAAGTGTGATCTCTGTCATCATGAGAAAACTGTCTTGAAAATGTAATCCTATTGCATCCTTAGGGCAATCCATGCTTTAAGCACCACTGCTCACCTTATTTATGGATGGGTAAAAGTTAGGGCACTTTTCTTTGAGCTGTGGTGAGCAAAGCAGGAAATTTGGTTGCTGTGGTAGTCTGGATGAGTAGCACAAAGACAGTGATGTTGTCTAAGCTTGGCCTCAAGTCCAACACACCAACACCATCAAACAGCCTTAAAAATGCATGAAAAACCACGCAGACAAAGTGAGTATTTGCCAAAGCACAGGACACCAACACTGAACCCTCCTCCTGGCACTGGCATTGCTCATGGGGCCCTCCAAGGTCAGGATTTTTGCCCAAGGCTTTCCCTGCCAGTGCAGGAGGAGGCAGCAGAAGTAAGAATGTCACTTCTTGGTCAATGTGGACCTTCAGGAGAAGCACAAGGAGTGAAAATACTTATTTTTAAACCAGCTGAGGACTTCCCAGGCGACAGAAGTGCCCTGAGGGCTGCAGGACATCACACAGGTGCTGTGGCAGAATGAGGGAGAACGGTGTTTGTTAAAATGGGAAATGGATAGGTGGGACTGGCAGGATAAAACAGAGTTTTTCTTCATCTGGGAAGAAGGGAGGAAGAAACCCACCCATTCCAGAGTGCCAAGCAGAAGGCAAACAGGGAATGATCCTTTCCTGCTTCTTCTAATGAAACAGCACAGGGAACATCTGCCTCTTGCAGGTAGCAAGGACAAGATGAACAGAAGATTAGTCCGTGGAAGAAAAATTCATCAAAATTGGATGAAAATACAAAGGTAATTAATTCCACTGGTTCAGGAAGTCCTTCAGCTGTGTAGGGTTACTCAGAGAAGCACTCCCTGATGCTTGCCATGTTTGGGTTAATAGGGACCTTAAATATCCTCCAGTTCCAACCCACAGGGGGACTGCAGTTCATGCTTTTAAGGATTTTTACTGGATATTTCTGTAACCCACCTGTATTGGGAATTACCTGAAACCACCACAACTGGAAACAGGCAAATCCATGTCCTTGCTGGCTGCCAGGATCAAGGAGCAGGCAGTGAAAATGTATCACTACCAACACATCTTCCACTTCCCTCAGTGTGAGAATAGGAACAAAGGCGTCTGTCTGAAAATAATAACACTTTATTTGATTTTTTTTTGCGTGTTTGTGTGTGTTACATTATCATAAATGTTCTCTAGTCTCAGAAAACAAAGCCCTAAGTTTGGAAAATAATGCACATACAAATCTCTTCTTACAGGTATTAAGTATACAGAAATATACAAAGATTTCTCTATTACTGTAATATATCATCAGAATGCCCCACATCCCACATTTTTGCTCAGGTCCACTGTACCAGGAAGCATAAACTACAAAGGTAACAAGCAACCTGAAGAAGACATGGTTTGTATAATATAATTACATCATATGTATATATATATATCTACAACAGTGCAAATATATCACAGCGTGCAGGCAGCAATAGTCTCTAGAGAAGCAGAATAAAATTGATTCATAGTAATGCAAATGCATTACAGAAACAAGAGACAACAATGACATATTAGATATTCAGAATATGCACACTTGAGCACGCTGATTTAAAATCATACCTTGCATTGACTCTTGCTTAGAAAAACAAAAGAACCAAATGTTAAATAATTCAGTAACAGGTTCAAGGGCAGAATCTCACAATAAGGTCAGCTGACTCAGAAAAGGTATTTGATAAATCTTTACTGACACAGGTAAAGGCTTGGCCCCACTGCAGGACTTGTTATCTTCTTCTTTTAAGATATATCAGTGTAATTGTTTCAACTTTAATTTTCTTTTGCCATAATTTAAGGGAATTATTTCCATTTTTTTTTTTAAATTGTTCAACTTATTCACATTCAGAAAGGTGGTTTTAATTATCACTGAAGCCAGGAAAGCATGTTTCTAGAAGTAACAGAAAGGAGTTTGTATAATGATTACCCTAAATGGGCCACTAAAATAAGCTACAACGGGGTCAGAACAAAAGACATCACAGATGCCACTGAAGTAGAAAACCCCATCAACCTTAAAAAGTAGAAGCTTCCATGTTGCCTTGCTGAAAAAGACATTTTCTAATTTTTTTTTTTTTCTTCTTGAAAGAGTGAAGCACACCCAGAGATCCAGCACACTGGGGTTTTGGTAGCTCAGAGAAGTCTCAAAGTCATCCCTCCACCTTTAACCATCCTGCACTCTTCCCAAGCAGCTCATTTTCACACCCCACGTGGACAGCAGCCATAAATACCCAGGAAAAAAGGGACACAAGCAATTGATAGGCATGGGCTGAGCTGCATGAGAGCCCCCAGACACATCCTGGCTGGTCACCCTTTGTTTTACAGCGCTGGCAACAGGTCTCAACAGAAATCTAAATCTCTTAAAGAAAGGTTCTACAGCTGACAACTGCATAAAATTATCATTCTTCATAAGATTTCAAAGTAACAACAAGACTGAAGCTAAATTTTGTGCTCTACAGTACAATTACTCCTTCAGAAACGCTACGTGAAATATGTACAGAAAGAGAAATAAAAGCATTAAACAGAATTAAAGTGAAACTTGCTATGTTTGCAGGCTCAGCCTGATACTTTTAGACATGTAATATGAAGAGTGATACGTGGGCTGACAAAAATCACTCAGTGGGATACACCACAACAACCCCTTTGTGTATTTATGGGAACAGGCATTTAAGAGGAGGGCAGCAGGAGTCGGCCCCTGAAAATGCCACTGCCCCTGTTCACAAATGGCAGAGCTCCTGATTCACTGCAGTGGCACTCAGCACTTAATTTATGCACTCCCCAGTGCTGTGTGGCACTGCAGCGATCAGCCTGTCACCAGCTGTCACAGGGGACATGACACAGTGTCATTTTCTGCCTACTTCTAGTTCCCAACAGCTTTTCACATGATCATACCTGATAAATGGATGTGTACACAGAAATTCCTGAGCAGTTGCACCCTATGGGGCTGTCGCCCTGTACTTTTGAGAGTTTTAAAGTTCTTCTAAAAGTTCCTATGCCTTCTGATATTTACATATTTCAACTGAGTTTTCTCACACACATGTTCATGTAAATAATGATTGTTTTGCATTCTTCTTTGTGGGTGGGGAGAACTGATGGACTGTTGGTTTGAGCAGTGTGGTTGGAGAGTGGCAGTTTCACCCTCCAATCCACTGTCACTTTGGCTATTGTATATATAGTGGAGTCAGAAAATAAAGTCGACGTTTTTGGGGTTTTTTTCTTTCCTTTTACATCTAGCCTGCTTCTGTGAGTTATTTCATGTCACAGTGTGACAATGGGGCTGTTCTGGTAGGAAATAAAGGATGGCACCCAAGGAAGGATGGAGACTCTCCTTAGTGCTGTATTTACAGAAATATTTTTTATTGTTTTTTTGCAGCAATAGCCAGATTAAGTTCTAGCTGGGCTTTGGCCCTTCTACAACTCCTGAAGGGCGGGTGCAGACAGGTGGGGTCGGCCTCTTCCACCAGGCAGCACTGACAGAACAGGAGGACACAGCCTCAAGCTACATCAGGGAAGGTTTAGGTTGGATATTAGGAAAAAAAAATTTCACTGAAAGAATAATAAAATACTGGAATTGTCTTCCTAGGGAGGTGGTGGAATCACCATCTCTGGATGTGTTTAAAAAAAGACTGGACATGGCACTCGGTACTATAGCCTAGTTGTTGTGGTAGGGCATAGGTTGGACTTGATGATCTTAGAGGTCTCTTCCAACCTCATTATTCTGTGATTCTGTAATTTCTCCTTGAATAGCCTCACAGCATCCCTGTAGTCCTGCTGGTCTGCCTGCCCTTTCTTCCACAGGTCACACACCCTGTTTTGTTCCCTGAGCTCCAGGCACATCTCTCTGCTCAGCCAGGCCGGTCCTCCTGCCCCTCTGGCTCGTCCTTTGGCACAGGGGGATGGATGGCCTGCCCCTGCTGTGCCTTTAGGATTTCCTTCAGGATCCCCAGCCTTCCTGGACTTCTCAGCCCTTCAGGGCTGCCTCCCACAGGACTCTGCCAGCCCAGCTCTCAAGCACACTCTGCCCTCCAGAAATCCAAGGGGGAGTTCTGCTGCCGCCCCTCCATCTGCCCAAGAACCAAAACCTCTCACCTCATGTTCACTGTGCCCAGGAGATCTCCAGCTGCCACATCACCCACCAGCCCTCCTCTGCTCACAGACAGGTCCAGTGGGGCATCACCACGTCCTGTTCCCTCACCAGCTGGGTCAGGAATTACCTCCCACACACTCCAGGAACCCCTTGGACTGTTTCCTCTTTGCTGTGTTGTATTTTCAGCAGACATTTGGCAAGTTAAAGTCTCCCACAGGAAAGGGGGCATGGATCACAAGACTTCCCATGGAACATTTCACCTGCCTCTCCATCCTGGCTGGGTGGTCTGCAACAGACTCCCACCAGGATATCTGCTTTGTTGGCCTTCCCCCTGATCCTTAGAACCCCAAAATCCACCCAGCACTGTGTAAATAAGTCAGGCAGGATCTCCTCTGTGAGGATCACTGGCGTGGCACAGGTCAGTATGTACCACACTTCCCCGCAGGAACAAGTGTTTAATAAAACATTCCTTTCTGCTGAGAACACAGAGTTTGACACAGAAGTGTGGATAGAACTGTCAGTCACCTGAGACATCCAGTTCTTGGGCTCAAGTTCATTATCTCCCTCTTACATAACCAGCTCTCCCTGTTACATGTGCACGTATTCCCCTCTTTTAATTAAAAGGGTACTCTGTGCTCTAAATTCTAAGAGCTGGAGAGAATTTCTGCATCAGTCTTCTTCCACTCCCTCTGAGCTGTAACAATGGAACCATCTCAATTTCTTAAGAGTAGTATCTGCTTTTCAGATATTTTATTTAATTGTAAATAATAATGCTTCAAGTTATTTTTTAAAACCTTCAGTGTTTTTCAGATTATATGCAAGTTTCCACAAAGAAAAACAACAAAAGAAGTATGAAGGACCTAAAGTCTTAACTAATGCACACAGTAATCAAACCAATGTCTCAAAAGAAGCCAAAATAGAACAAGGAGGCCAACAGGACACTAAAGTCTTCCTGCAGTCCCAACAAAAATCATACATTCACTTTTCAAGTGAAACCTTGAGCCTCTAACATAACTTTTAGCCAGGCTGTGACTGGCTTAAATAGTAATAGTGGCATTGATTTCAAAGAGTTTATGGCTCTTTATATATGGCTATAAAATTGAGCATTCAAAAATTGAGGATTTGAAGCCTTCAGAATCCTGCTGGCCTTATTATTCTTCCAAGTGAAGCCTCCAGAGCTTCACAAAGTGCTGCTCAACACAGCAGCACCTGCATGCTCCACTCATTAACCTGGGAATGTGTTTTATACCAGCCTGTTGGAATTTATCTCCACATAAAGAGGAAAAAAGCCAACCTGAGACTACGTTACAAATCTTTGCAGTAGATGAAGACATAACTGGGATGGATTTTAAATGCTTCTGTCCCACAGCAGTGACAAAAGAGAGATCATTAGTTGTTTTATGAGCTAGGGAGAGAAAAAAAGTATTATCTCGTTTATGTGTATCACTGAGTCTCCAGAGAATAACTTCTTTACTGGGATGCTACAGTCTGAAAGCATTCCTAACAATAGTAACTTCCAGCTAAATGCTGCCAGCAGAAGGCTGGAAAAAGCATATCTAACAAAAAAAGGAGTGACAAAAAATATTCCCAGAGCAGGAATTTTCTCAGGAACACCCGTGGAGAACCAGATTTTTGGCTACCATAACACAATACAAACTTACAGTATAGGAGGACACGCTGGAGGCTACAAACATAAAATGAGACAGTCTAAAACCAGAGGAACAGGCACAGATAACAAGACAGCATCCAAGGAATTCATGCAGCTAAACTGGTCTAGATGGGAGAGAACAGCATCCTGCAAGATACCAGTGTGGAAATGCCAGCAAAGTTCCCTCATTTGGAGCACTGAGGGGATTGTCAGGGTGGAATTTGGTAAATGGTGCTGGTAAACACAAAACATGAACCCTGAAGGTATTCAGTGCCAGGGATGTCACACTCTTTGACCTCAGCTTGGACCACAAGTCTGCAACCCAAGAATAATTTGGCCAATGTACCTTTGTCTGCTTGCAAAAAGTGCTTGAACTGCCTGTAATAGTCACAAATACATTGAGAGTCTTGAAATAATCAAGGCACGTTGTGCTAAAGGGATTTCAGCTTGTGCCTTGTTTAAAAACCGTTCACAGCCATGAGTATTATTTAGAATAGCTCAAATTCTTAATTTCTCAAATCTGACAGCCATATAGGTTTGTACCTGCTCGTGATTATGCCTAGAAAATCTGCAAAGCTGTAAAAAGCTTTTTGAGAAAAAACAACAACAAAAATTATGCAAAGAGGCTGTGCAAGGGATTTGTTTTTTTCTTCTGCAGTAAAGATTGATTTTGCTTTCACAGGTAAACCTTATTTTCAGGGAAAGTTCAGCTAGCCTTTCTAAAATATGTGACTTAATTTAAAGCCTTCCAGACCCCAGGCTTAGTTCAGATGTCCTGAGTTTAACAGATACATGCAGTCTGTGTATTGGTAAATCAAACATAGCCTGGGCATGGGTCAGGAAAACTGGGAAACAATTTTTTTCCCTGCTAAATGGCAGAGCTGCAGCCCAGCACAGCCAGAGCTTTTGCAGACAGTGTTTGGGCTGTGTAAAAGTCAGTACAGGGCCTATTCCTATAGCCCCAGGTGTGTGAGAACTAACAGAGCTGAACCTGGCATTATTTATTTCAGTAGGATAGACACAGCCATGGAGTCTTGGAAAAGTCTGTGGATTTTTGACTGCTGGAGGACAGAAGATGCACCAGGTCCCTCTTATCTGCCCTGCTGCCATGAGCTGCTGGGCTCCTCAAGGGTTTGCTGACATTGAGCTGCATCCAACCTGCAAGAGTTCAGCATCCTTAAGGGAAAAATGCATTGACAGAACGTGCAGGCCTCACTCAGGGGTCTGGGACACCCAAAAAAATTCACAGTCATGGCAGAAAGCTGTGCAATTTGCACCAAAGCTCACCAAGGTGCCCAACATGAGGATGGTGGATTAATTTTGGGTTGAAGATCCAAACCCATGAAAATTGGTGAGAAAATTCTCATCAGCTTGGAACCAGAATTCCCTCTGCCAAATTTACAGAGGTGAGATACCCAAAATAACAGTTTCATTGGTGTTCAGATTCTCATGTTGTGCATGTAGATTTAGGGATGAGAAGAAAAGTGCCTGGCATAATTAGAGCTGCAGCGTTACAAGGTCATTTGTGTATTTTTGGGAGAGTCCCACACAGAGTGTGCTGCAGATACAATGAACACCTCTGGATGAGGCAGTCACAGGTGTTATAACACAGTAGCCCAAGCTTTGATCTGTGGACAGCTCTTGCACTCCTTTAACAATCACTTTAGGGACAGATCCTGCTTTCACAATTTAATTAAAAATAAGCCTTTGGAGTGCTTTGATTTTCTTCAGTCGCAGGAGGTAGATCAAACAGATAATGAACAGAGCCAGTATCCCAAAATACCACAAAAACTAAGGATTTAAAGACACTGCAAAAGAATATTTTTTTTTCAACCATTCAGTGACAGCTTGACCATGTCTAACTGCATGTGCTACCCGGTGCTGCTTCCAAATGGGACCACAGGTTTAGTGCAGATTCAGAACCTGCCTTTTTCTCCTATCATTACAGTTTTCAGATATGAGACCAGCTCGACAAGTAAAGCACCAGAATTCTAAATTCAGACAGAAACAAAAATAATTACTTGAATCACTTCAGGTTTCTTTTAAAAAAGTATCCATATTAAAAAGATATCTTTACCTTATTAATACATTTACAGACTTTTAGCCAGAAGGGGTAATTCTGTGGAAAAGAATTGCAAAATAATACATAGAAAACTGCAAAGATGAAATTTAAAAAGATGAGAGAATCCTATTTTCTTTGCATTCCTCATTTTGCATCTCACTACCTTGTAACTAGAGATGTCATTTCACTATTCTGGCCACCAGGACTGGGATCCTGGCAGCTTTATCCCAAAATTGGTTTTCATAAGGAAAGCTCCTGCAGCCAGGTTTCTTGTTTCTCAGTATTGATATTCTTGTGGTATAAAATTCCCTTCTAGTTCTTCTTCCTAGTTAAAGCTAGAAAGTGTAATGAAAACATGACCCAACCCAACTGGACTGATTGGCTTAACACTGAATGTTCACTATCCCTTGTGGCTCTCCATGGGCTCGGTCAGGACAGCATCTGGCTGGGCACTGGGGACCAGCCTGCCACAGTGAGACAATGTCAAGTGCCCTCTATTGCGTGTCTAAAGTTCTCCTACTGCATCTCTCCAGCTGCTTTTCCTTTACCTCTCCGCTCGGATTTTGTATCTGAGGACAAAATAGGCAATCAGGCGCAGAGAGAAGAAGAAAATCCCAAGAACAATGAAGTCCAGGTAAAGTTTGGCATTTTCTACATCCAGTTCTTTCAGGATGGCCTCTGATTTTTGGAAGTGGCAGGTGTCATCTTTGTCACAATGCAGATCTTCTCGATCCAGTCCGTAGATGGAGAGGATGACTCCTTCGAACCCATATCTGGAAAGAAGAAGGAGGGATTATGAGGAAAATCCTGATGATCTGGTTAGAAGTGCAACATAATCCCTGGGGGAGCTCAGCTGAGATGCTGAGGAGTTCAATATCGCTTTGACAAATCTGTTTTGGGGCAAGTTCTATCCCTGTTGCAATCAGGCACATCACACGTCACGGGTATTTTATGTAGGAGGGAACAAGGGCAGGAATTTGCCTTTAATGCTTCCAGTCAGGGCACAGTGCAATTTCTCCAAAAGAAAAATGTCAAATCAGAAAGCAGCATAATTTCAGCTCAAATTCAGAAATTCCCCATTTAAAAGTGACATCATTTTTTTTTTAAATTTTTTTTTTATTTTTTATGATGAAACAGGGATACAGTTATGGCTTGAAGTCAGAAATATGTTAAAACCAGCATCAGTCTAGAATGTCCCTTCTCCTTCCCTCTGTGCACTAACAGTTTTACTGATAATGTTCCCAGTATTTGCTTTTGGAAGGAGATAAACCATCATGGATCTCAGGCATATGAAAGCTCCCTCTGGCTTCAGGAGACCCCACATGAGCCAGGCAATGATTTAAGGCCTCCCCTTGAATTCTAAGTATTAATTCAGGGGGTGCAATCTCATTATCTTTGATAGGAATCTGTGTAGAGCCTCACTTGGCAACAAAGAGGATTTTTTTTTGCCTGGTATTTCTCAGTACAGTGCAGCTTGGGCAGGGTGGGGAAATGGGGAATGGGAAAATTCCCCACTCCTAATTTCGGCTAAAAACATTTCAGTGTCTGGTCTAAACTATCCCTCCAGAGGTTTCCTGGTGGGAATTGTCCCATCCTAAGACAGCTGTGTCAGGCACAGACAGCACATAAGGGATCTTAAAACAGCAGTTTAAATTAGAGGTGACACAAATCCTGTGCCTCTTGTGGCTGGGCTACTGCAAGACTTAAAAACAGGCCTTTATCCAACAAACCTATCTAGGATACAGCACTGAATTATACATTTTCTGTATAATTGAAACGAGGTGCTGGCATCAATTTCTCAGTTGGTGATGTCCCTATTATTTCATACATCCACTATTGCAAAATCCAGGAAGATTTTCATGCTGTGCAATCCCACTGAATTCAAAGGGATTGACACGGACTTGTGGCCAGTAACCTTTTCCTATTTATTTCACAACATAAACAACTTAAAATGCAGAGAGATAATGTGGTTTACATCACACATGTGAGTATGTTTATACTCTAAAAGAACATGCTGTGAACAGTCCCTTTGGCACCAAAAATAACCTACCAAGCAAGCAAGCAAAGGCAAACAAACAGCATTTCCAGATGGGAGGGTGAAGGCCTCCCCAGCAGTACCTGACATAGGAAATGTAGGACATCCACTGGAGGTATGTTGGGATGGTGTCAAAGCTGACAAAAAACCCAGAGAACAGGAGGACTGGGATGGCAGTAACTGGGCCCACAAAAGTTGCCACCTGTGAAGAGAAGGAACAGAGTGTCTCTTGTCAGAAAGACAGAAAAAGTAAAAGTTAACTTCCTCTCCTATGACTCCTAGGAGTAATTCTACACCCTCAACATTATCGCAGTTTGAAATAGCAGAAAATTGCTGATTTTCTTTTTCCTGTGAGATTTCCTCTGAGGAAAAGAGCAGAAGCACAGGGATCATGAAGTAAGGCCATCCCCAGGCTGGCACAGAGTCAAGGGCTCTACTGCAGAAGTCTTGACAGCATCAATGCATATTGAGGTCAGAATCATCTGTTCTGCTGTGGAATGGTCACCTCAGCACATCTCCTGCCAGGAGTTACATGGCCAGCTTCCAGTCATGCCAACAGCTGTCACTCTCCCTCACTTTCCAGAAATTTGGGGGTTGGGCAAGCTTTTTCTTGCCTTTTCTTGCCTTTCCTTCTACAGCTTTTCTGGGTGTGCATGGAAGAACCTTCTCCTGAGCTACTATGGAAAATTTCCAGTTTGTGGGGATGCAGAAACACATCAGTCCTGCAGTTTCCAGGACCTGCTCAGTCTGGGATGAACAACAAGTGACAATCCACCCAAGCAGGGGCAGGCACAGCCCTTTCAGGTGGGGCAGGAACTGCAGAGCTTCACATCCAGGGCATATCTGGGCTCTGGGGTGAGTGGGGAGCATCAAGAACTCTGCTACAGCAAGAAACTTTCTGCCTGTCACCTCTCAACAAACATCCTGGGGACACAGCAGCCCTGACAGGGAGCAGAGTTAGGACACAGCAGAGCTCCTGTGAGACCATGAAACACAATCAGTACTGTCTTAGCTTGGAAGATGTAGCTGGGGGTGTGTGTTCTGTCACCATCTGTCAGAGCTGGGGCAGTTCTCTGCTGCTCATTGGGCAGTTTTTTCTTTATCTCTTCCACAGCCAATCCTCCTTCCAGGAGATCTCTTCTGTCCATGGGCCATTAATTATTAATTATCTTCTGTTCTTGGCCAGTGAGTGTCCCTGCATGGCTGAGAAAATTCCATCATCCCATGGGGAGATGCTCTGCCCAGGGGAGGAGCCAAACATTCCTACCTGGATACAATCTGACCTGGGAACAGCACAGCAGCCTTTGCCCACTGCATTCCCAGAGGAGCAGCTTTCTTCCCACTGCATTCCCAGAGGAGCAGCTTTCTTCCCACTGCATTCCCAGAGGAGCCCAGGCCCATCTCCCCCAGCCCTGGAGCTGCAGAGGAAAACTCCCCCCTTGTGCAGGATCCTGCTCCAGCAGAAGCACAGCTGGCACTGCAGGAGGGCTGAGCCACCCTGGGATGGGACTGCTGCCACCTCCCTGACCCACAGGGGGTCAGGGCCTGCTCTGAACTCTGACAGTGGGTTTTTTTGTTGTTTGTGCTACTGCATTTGTATTTTTAATTTTCCTAGTACAGAACTGTTATTCCTACTTCCATATCTTTGCCTAAGAGCCCCTTAATTTCAAAATTATAATAATTTGGAGGGAGGGGGTTTACATTTTCCATTTCAGGGGAGGCTGCTGCCTTCCTTAGCAGACACCTTGCTTTTCAAACCAAGACAAGTACCTGGAGGGATGTGGAGGCTGCACCTATGAGCAGGCCCAATGATTGAGCCACCAGGGATGTCATGGTCCCCAGGGCTGCGAAGAGGACAAAGCGGAGCGCGTCGGAGGGCTGGGAAGTCATCCAGTACACGATACTGCAGTAAGCCACAGGGAACATGATCTGCAAGGACAAGCACTGGGAGTTAGCCCCTGACAGCCAGACATCCACTGCTCCTCTGAGTGGCACAAAAACGTGGTGGTGTTCCCATTAACCCACAGCTCCCAGCCTTTCCATTACATGACACGGATACCAGTCTTTCTACTTGGGCATTTGAAAACAGATTCCACTCCCATCCCTTCACAATTCTCCTCCTACAAATAAGCAAAGCTGGTCATGTGTTTAATAAAAGAATGTTGGGTCAGGTCTCTGCTTTTGTGAAGCCCTGCACTCTCAGGGTGATTCTGATTCATCCCTGAAGCTTCACCAGACACATATGGACATTTTCCCCACTATTCCAGTGGATAAAATACCAATACTAATCTTCTTGGCAAGTGAGCTTGTCATTCATGAACTGAAATGGGTCTACTTTATTGAAGAGTAGAGCATGTACCTGAAAAGGAACATCAGCCATGGTTTTGGCGAGGTAATAGGCTTTTAGGCTGTACCAGTAGTTCAGGTGCTCTCTGAGAAACACTCCCATCTCAAGGGGAACTGCAGGAAACACAGAATATTCACTTAGATTGCTGCAGGGTGCAATACTGCTTCACATAAAAACAATGCAAATGTTGTTGTTAAACACATAAAAACAAGCCTCATCCATGTCTAATCCTGCACTGCTGCAGTCCCAGGATGGGACTGGAACTCTCAGGTCTTTGACAGAGCAGCAAAAGTTTCAGTGATTTGTAACAGAATATAAAAGATCAGCCCCTAGAGCTGCTCACTGTTGAGACTATGACCAGTCTACTCAGATGATCTGAGCCTCCCTTAAAGAGTATTTTAAATGAAAAGTGGTGTCAAAACTTAACTTGGTTATTTTTCTTGGTCCAACAGGGAATCCAAAGTAACAGCACTCCCAGAGCAAGTGTGAAACAGTCCATTCTGCAGGAGTTTGCTTCTGACACCACATGAATAAGCTGATTTTATGCAGGAGTCATAACTTGGAAGCCCCAGAGAAATTATTCCATCCTCCCTAAGTCCAACCACGATCTCAGGGCATGGTTGAGATGCACTGGGATAAGGAGAAATTCCAGTCCAGGACTGTAACACTGAACTGTCTGTTCTGAAAAACACTGGAAAAACTGGGCCAAGCTGGCCAAGCCTATTTCTGCTAGCACAGTAATGCTTCTGTGGGTGCAAGATTGACCCCCACCCCCACCTGTCTTAGAGGTAGAATCACAAGTCAGATGCTGTCTTACACAAAACCAGACATATTCCAACATCCCCTCCCCAGTGCTGTGACTCACAGGTGAGGACGGTCGGCATGAGCGCAGCAAACATGAGGAACAACATGGAGAAGAAGAGGAACCCCGAGTTGCTGAGGACTTTCTTGGCTTCATTGCCAATGCCCAAGTAGAGCAATCCAATGAGCAGCCCAATGCCAATGTGTGAGGTGATCCTCAAGTGTGTCAGGACCTGTGAAAAGCAAAGAGTGGCACCTATCAGGAAGTCTGGGCTCAAAACTGTGGGAATCCAGGGCATCCCTCTGGCTGCCCTGGCAGGTCTGGGACCCTGGCAGGGGTCAGGAACCCCCCTGGACAGAGCCCCGAGAGACACTGGCTGTGATCTCTGTCAACGGAAAAGAGTTTTCAATCTTACAGGATGAATTACAAGCTCTGAGTGTGGGATATATGTAATAAGTGTGGCACAGGTGCAAAAGTAAAATTTTAGGATTCTAGATTAGGGGTTCAAAGGGAACAAGATGGAGGAAATTGGGTGTGTCTTGTCCTTTTTCTCCTTCTTCATGCCCCCCATGTTTCACTGTGGTGTTGGCATTTTTCTGTTGGTTTAGGCTGGGGACACACTGTCCAACGTAGGTGACAGATATTGGCACGTTATTGTAAATCCAGCACAGGGAGTTTGTGGTATTTAATGTTTGTACCATCCCACTGAGGGCAGAGCCCCACACGCTGCCCTGCAGGACAGAGCTGCGGCAGGGCAGCAGAACATGTTAGAGATAAACAGAATAAACAACTTTGACACCAGCACAGACCAATTATGGCTTCTTCTTTGGCAGCGGGGCTGAAAGACAGAGACTTTTTGCAATCTGGGAATCATCAATACCACAGATTCCGACAGAAAACCAGTGACAGTGTGGCTGAAATCAGGTAGATTGCAGGAAAGGAGCACTTATGTCCAGAAAATCTTACACGGAAACCATTGAGTGGTTTGGTTTGGAAGGGGCCTTAAAGATCACCAAGTTCCAATGCCCTGCCATGAGAAATGTAAATTTCCTGCTGGGTAAGAAAAATTATGAGCTTCCCACAAAAATTTCTTCCAGGTAACACAGGCAGGAACTGCAAATGCTGCAGCCTGAAATCTCAATGTCTGACAAAACCATGGAGCCACTGGCTCTTACTCATCAGGGGAAATAGACTTTCTGACTAAAAGATAAATTTCCCCAGAGCAGAAGAGAAGCAGAAAAGGTATTTCAGGCTTATGTAGACCAAAGTAACTCCATCAGGAATAAATTAGCTTTCTGTGCCTTCTCTGCAACACAGTATTCCCACAAGAGGCTTGGAAGAACAAAAGAAATAATAACATTGAGAACAACTGCAAGCCTTTAGAGTTGAGCAGGAAAAACATATATTAAAAACAACATTGTCCTTCAATCTATGCATCAGCAAATCAGCTGCAGTTTCTCCTGATCTTAATTCATTAACTTAATTAATCCTTGTTGACAAATGCATTTATAAAAGGCATGAAGGGAGAACAAGTTATGGCAAAGAAGCAAATGTTTTATCTATCAATTTTCTACTTCCAAAAATGAAGACTTTAAGTAATAACTTTACATCACAGTGAAATTATGATCTTTGCCATCCTGAATTTTCTGCAAACCCTAATTTTGTGAAACAGCACTACAACTTCCCACTCACTTTTCAGTAGGATTAATAACTGTATAAGGGACCTGCCAGCACAGAGGGGATTTAAACTTTGGGTTTTTAGGCCAGGTGGTTCTGAGTGTTTTGTAGAAAGCTGTCATTCAAAATGAAGATGGTAGAGCTAACAGAAAGACTGAAAGATCAGCCTCTTCCCTTTGAAATTCTGTGATAAGTCATGGACGGGCTGCTGGACAGGACCCCAGAGGTGTATTGCAGTGCCTCACACCCAGCTGAACAGACCTCTTGGCCACAAAAGTTAGTATAAAGCCATTCTTACCGAGTCCCTCATGATGGTGAGGAAAGTTCTTTTGAAGAGGATGCAGAACTGGGTTAGGCAGCTGGCAGAGAAGCTGTGGCAGCCTTCTGTGGAGGATGAGTCCTGCAGAAACACACAGAGAACAAACTCCTTTCTTTGCACTATCTGCTTTGGTTTTCATTCACAAAAGCCCACTCGCATCGGCTGAGTGTGCCCAGAGACTTTTCCACTGACGGAGGATTTAAATTCCCTCCCTCCCCCTGCAGCCCTCTGGGCTGAGATGCACAAAATACCTCTTCAGAGGGCCGGTGCCAGAGGAAGGGGTTCAGTTCGTGCTCCCCAACCACGTCTCTCTTGTAGTCTGTGTCACAAATCCTCTCCCTCACAGCCCTGACCAGGCGGCTGTTCTGGTCCCCGTACTCACCCGAGGCCACTTCCATCACTACAAAACCAGAAATTGAAGTTATTGCTTTGCAAAGGTTTATATTGCTGCTTTGCAAAGGTTTAAATTGCTGCTTTGCAAAGGTTTAAGTTGCTGCTGACCAGGTACAAGCCTTGTTGTTAAACCCCCTCGATGCTGCAGCACTGACAAAACCCATCAGCCACAAATTCCTACCTCTACACAAACAACATTTGAAATGCCACCTGCAAGTTCCTATCTCTACACAAACAACATTTAAATGCATCTTTCCATAAATCTTCAGAGAGATCTCTTCATCCTGGAAGTTAAATGTTCAGAGGAAAGGCGGTGAATACAGAAAATAGACAAAAGTCTATTTTTGTGGCACTTTCCATTTTTTTTGTTTTAGTTAAGAAGCAGCACTGAAAAAAACCTCAATGCTATAACCTATACAATGCCACAGTGGTACTGCTCAAAATAAAAAGAAAACAAGCACAATACTGGAGCCACTTTAAAAAGTCACTAAAACTACTTACTATGAAACACTAAATGCACTTTATCTTTCATTTCCTGGACCTGGACTTCTAACAGAGAGAAATATTCACTAAATTGTACCACTAGATGGCATTCAAATTACTTTGGGAAAAAAAAATCTGATAACTTTTATTTTGAATTTTGGTTCACATATGGACAAAGCACGTAAGAATATATGTACAGAAGTATCAATCACACCAGGGTAAGGTTTTCCTTACCCTGAAGGTGATAAAATTATAAAATAAAAAAGAAATGAAATAAACTATTCAAGCTGTCCTTACCAAAATCTGCTGGGTTGTGGTAGGTTGGACAATTCAATCCCAAATCTCTCAGGTAAGGGACGAGGTTTGTCACCTTCCCACGGTAAATGCACTGACCTTGACTTAGAACATAGAGCTGGAAAACAAGAAGCAAAGGGGAAAAAATAAAATAGAAGAAAAAGAAATAAGAAAAAAAGAAGTGAAATAGCATCAAAATATTTGAACCTGTTGCTTAACAACATCTCCTTGTCCCTGTGGGAAGAACACCTTGGGAAAATCTGTCACCACTTGAAATTAACTTTGCATGGAATCACAACTAATGGAAAATTTAAAGGCTGGAGTTGGAATTCTGCACACATTGCCTGCAGGACTTCAAACACATTAACACAGAAATGTTACACTAATTCCAGCCTTTGGCACATGCTGAAAATAGGCAAGGAGCTGGAGAGCCAAGCCATCCAATTTCCACACATTATGGATATTTTGGGCTGGGAGGCTGGTGAGTGCAGGGATGGAAGGAGAGCTGGGCCAGCACAGCAACAGCAAACAGCTCAATCACTCTCACTTTTAGCCACAATTTTGACTTTAAATAAACCTCCCTGCCAGACTGGCAATCTGCAAGAGTTTGTTCACCTGTGGTGGTGGAGGTTTTCTCTCAGCTCTCACAGGACTAATCTAAATCCTCTAACAAGATTAAAATATATTTTTTTTATCTAATCTAAGCACACATGGTCCACATGACATTGTTAGCTTGGAGAGAAGTTCTCCAACTGACTTAATTTCAATTAATTTATAAATACTAAATTTGAGTATTATTATTATTTCATGTGAATTAACTCTTCTCAATCTACACCTGTGTATCTATGATACACAGATATACTGCAGACATTGACACTGCAGCTCTCCTGCTTTTTTATTGCTCTAATTTACTTCAGTGACAGCCCTGTGCACAGAAGCAGTGCTGGGTGAAGGCATGATAATCACCAGTGCAATAAACGTGACTTCACAAACCTAACAGCAAGATTCTTCACAAACATTACACATAAATAAAGGAAAGAGGCAGAGAAGAAGGAAAAAAACATAATAAATAAGTGTATTTTGCTGTTATTTATTTAATTTCTATATATGATTTGTAGCCATCAACTAGAATTATTCATGTTTTTTGATTAAAGAGTGTAGCCTTGAAAGCATAACCACCCTGAACTATGCATGAAGAGAAAGTCTGAGAGCAATACCTGGTCAAAGAGCTCAAACAGTTTTGCACTGGGCTGGTGAATCGTGCAGATGATGGATCTGCCACCCTGGGCCAAAGCCTTCATCAGAGAGACCACCTGGAAACATGATGCACTGTCCAAGCCACTGGAAAAAAAACCAAACAAGTTTGTTTGGCAACCAAACAGGACCACTCAAAACCAGCACATGCATTTGCTACGTGGTATCCCATTATTACCCTTTTACAAATTTTCTCTGTAGCAGTTTCATTTTATCATATGCCAACCTTATGCTTGTACTTCTCCATCAGGCTTTTAATTAAGTTGGAAGCATGCCTGAGAATGAAAAAGAGTATTCTCAAAGCTGCCTTAAGGGACTTCTACATTTTAGGGCTGCAGATTTAAATGCTCCCAACTTTAATGAATAGATGCATATTCATAGCTTTGCCAGCCTCCTCCCAGACTGATGACATTCATTACCAAAAGTCACATTTTAAAATGTTTATATTCAAGCAGTCTTTGCTCGAAAAAGAAAATCCATGCCACAATATTTTCCTCTCTCTTTTCCTTCCTCCTGCAGTTTGTGAATGCTTTAAATGTTGCTTACAGCCCCACAGTCCAGCAGCTGCAGCAGTGACCCAAGGCACAAAGAGCCCAAATCAAATTGTTTCTTGGCCTTATTCAGTGCTTGCAGGCAACACAAGAGGAGCCTTTCCCAAGGATTTAGAGGTGAATAGCTTTTCTGTAGCTCTGTTCTATGATGCAAAGCTGTGTTTGATTTTTGGCCCTGAAGTACCTGGTTGGTTCATCGAAGAACATGACAGGAGGGTTGTTCACCAGCTCCAGAGCGATGGCGAGGCGCTTCCTCTGGCCTCCTGAGAGACTCCCAGTCCTGGTGTTGGCACATGCCAGCAAACCAAGGGCTGTCAGGATTTCCTTCACCTGGAGGGAGCAGAACATTCCACAGTGTCAGAACAGGAAAAACCTCCAGCCCCTCCACTGATTTTCACTGAGGTTGCAAAGCAGCTCATGACTTTATCACCCACACACTCAAAGCCTTTCTCCATCTAATGAAGCATTTATTAGACTCAGTGTTAACAGCCTACCATTTACTGTTTTGACCCAAATTCTGTTTGCTTGTCCTGCATGGCCTCACTCAGTAAAGAGGTGAAAAAGGAGTGGAAATCAGTTCTCCTATAGCAGTGTATTTATGGGTATGGCACTGACATCAAAGGGTTTTTACACAGTGAAACCAAGAAGTTTCTTTCAATAGAACTCTGGGGCTGTCTCTACGAGGGAATCTGTAACAAAAACCCAATGGTTTCTGTAGAGCAGTGTCCTGTTTTATCTCCTCTGTTCTCCACAGTCTCTTCTTTCAGGTGCAGCCATTGATTTCAAGTGTTTTCATTCCACTCAGAGTCAATGCAGTTGTCACAGGTACTCTCAGATGTTTGGGATTTCCTCAAGACAGCCTCAGGAAGGGCACAGCTCGTCCCAGGGTTTTTGGAGCAAAAGGAGAACAATCCCAGGCACTATGATTTTTAATGTTTCAGTGACTATAGATCTGGTCTGGTAGCCCTACATAAGGGAAATAGCACTTTGGCCTCAGTAAAAGCATGGACACAAAAATGAGTGAATCCATGAGCTACATTTCATGCAATTAACAAACTCCACCACTTCAAAGGTAGAAAGCAGCCCAGACATTTAATGTTCCACTGAAGTTTAGGAAACAGAGCCCACCATTTTTCAAAGTATCAACTGCTTGGATGGAGAGAGTTTTCCAGAAAGAGTGCCTGACCTGGTGAAAATTGATGAGACCAACCAGGGCCTGACACTTTTCTTGTCCTGATTTTGATTTCCAGGAGTTCCCTCTCCCAGAAAGAGGGAGTAAAAAAAATAACAAAACCCACTAAGCCTTGTTTCTCAGATAAAAAACCCAACTACCTCATTCCCTTTATCTCTGGGAAGGGTAAACAGGAGTCAGGCAGCACAAGAAACATAAACTGTGGTTCACTGGCGGATTTTCACTTGTCCCTGCTTTAAACAAGAGTCTGCAATCCTGCTAGCACAAGTGTATAAATTCATAACATTTATCTGTGATAAACATTTACACTCCAATTTACAACAATTAAATTAATTATCTTCTCCTGCACAGGCCAGTAACACTAACTAGAAAATTCTTTTAACATGTGTTGAATAAACACAGCACCACAGTTTTTAACTCAAAAAGCTGTTTGTAATTACAGTGGCAGTGTGAACAAGTGAATTAACTTGCTTGGCCTAACTTCACTAAAGTGTAAATGAACCAAGGTTTCCAAAGCACAACTAAGTTAACAGCTGTTTCTATAAAAGTTTATCTTCCAGTAGGAAAACAACCTGTTTGTTTTCTACACAACAAGCTGATTCCTGTAAGTTTCCCTTTCTGATTTTCAAGGATTCTTTTCGAGTCTGAAGAAATACCCATTGTAAATTTGTAAATAAACACAGACAATTTGTAAATAAACACAAAGGACAGTCAAAAAACCAGCTGATCTACCTAGGAAGTTGCCACAGTTTTCACATTTCAGGAAAAGTTGTGCTTTTCCCCATGGATGGGTGAGAGGAGCACAGATTCTAGTGCAGGTCCAGCTGGGTGATTTATCTCACCCCACATGAGATGCCTGAGGCCTCAGACATGCACACAGGAGAATGCAAGGTGCTAAGGTTCATTAACAGGAATCCTGCAGAACCTGTGAATTTGTTTCTGTAAACCTTTTACAATTTTCCAGTCTTGTACTGAAAGCAGCTTTCATAGAGACTGCAGTGAACATTCCCTCCTGACGACACATGTCAGCCTAGAGAATATGAATTATTCTGTCATTGCAAGTCCAGGGCAGTTCAGTATTAGATAAAAAATGTCTGCTTTACAGAGCTCACTTCTTGGCATCCCCCAAATTCTAGTTTGATGGGCAGTGTACATACCATTTCTCTCCTCCCTTCATCTTTCTCTTGAAGTTTCAGATGAGCAGATACCTGGAATGCAAAACAGTGGAATTTGATTTTGAGCTGGTCTGAAGCACAACCACCACTCAGAGCAGACATCTCAGGCACAGCACTCCAAGGTACCACTTAAACAACTCCTTTCAGCCCAGTCAGAAAATCTGAACTTGAACTACAATGTTCCAGTCACAAGCATCACATTTTTCTGTGCAGCAAACAACTGAGTCTAATTTGACTTGGGCAAAGCACCTGACAGAAAGTGTATTTAAAAAAAGGCCATTCTGCAAGTCAAAGAGCTTTACAGGAGGATGGGAGAGTGACATATTTTGCACATCCAAAAACTTCCCAGGTAATGCTAGAAACAGTTTATTTGTGGTTCATTCACGCTGTTAACTGAACTCTGCCATTCTCCAGCATGCAAACAAGCGAGCACAGAAATAAATAATCTTGTGAAAGATGTCATCTGCTGTCCTGAAAGGCAGCTCCATGAAACATCATGATTAACCTTTATTCAAAGCAATTAAAATATTAGGTAATTATTTTTTGTCACAGCCTTGATTGATTAATTTTTGACAGCAACTATAATCTGGGCCAAATTATGCAAAAGTGGTCCCGTGGGATTCTGATGAAAACACTCAAGTAAACAAAAGAGAAGAAAACCTTTTTCACAGAAAAGAGCCTTTGCTGAAAATTAGCCACATAAAAACTGGAATGATTTCTTCTGGCCTTAAAATTCATGAATTCAGCTGGCACAGTGTGAGCAACCTAAGCCTTATTTTGATAACAATTTCTGAGAAAAACTGGCCCATTTCTCAAGCTGAGCTACAGACACTTCAGGTTGGCAATTCATAAACTTGCTGATTAGATGCAAAACAACGAGAAGAATTAACATTGCTGTACATCCTGGACTTATTCTGTTCCTGTTTCTTTTCCCATGAAGAAATGAAAGAGATTTTATAAAATGCCTTTATTTTTATAAAGGCACAAAAGAGTAGAAGTGGCAGAGAGATCACACTGAAGTGTAAATACCAAATTTCAGTCAGAACATGAAAGATGGGGAGAAAGAGAGAGAGATGAGGTTACTCATCCACCACCCAAGCAAACAGATGGTCCCTACCAAGGCTCATTTGTGAAGAATTTCAGGTTCTATTCTCTCGGAGATCTAAGGAGGAGACACTTAGATCTCCTTCCAAATCACAATGCTGGGCACAAACTGGAAATTATAAAGCCAAAGAATCCCTAGAAGGATGACCCTGAAATGGAATTCAAGGCATCATCAAATTCCAAGAACATTCATTGAGCGGGATCAGACAGGGATAAAATCTTGTGGCACTGCCAGGGGTAGGACCAAGGGCACGGCACAAACCATTCTCCATTTTCTCCTGCTCAGATAAATTAGGGCAAGGAGCAAAGCTCACCATCATAGCTTCCTGGACAGTGAGGTGAGGAAGGAGCATGTCATCCTGCATGATGTAGCAGGAGACCTTGCGGAAGGAGCGCAGGTCGCGGGGTTGCCCGTTGATGAGGATTTCTCCTTTCATCCCCGTTTCTCTGAAAGAAAACCACAACAACCAGAGGTGAATCTCACCATCACTTCTGCTGCCAAAAAATGACTCAGCTCGTGGAAGTCTTAGGGAGTTATTGTCACTATGAAATAAATTCAGTAGACTGGATAAATTATTTCCTGATTACGCTTTCTACCATATAAAGCCTCATGACATGACGCTGAAAATTTTACTCAAAATGTGTGCTGTCGTATATAAATCTGAAAAAATATCAAGAAATTAAAGCTGGGGTTTTTATAGGTTTCTCTATCCTGTTCCTCATGCCCCAGATGTCAAGACAGAGACAACTTGTACAATAATACAAGAGGGGATTTAGAAAATTGAAACCAAATCACTGATTTTGGTGAGGAACACATCAACATTATGAACCGGTGACTAAAAAGAGTAGATTTTTTCAAATGTTTTTGTGATTTAAAAAACATCACAAACACAAGACACTGAGTCAGAATTGTTACACAGCCAAAAAAGGAGATTTTCTTTATATGTGTTTTAAATTGATTCTTATTTTTGGATCAGACCTGTTAAGAGATAAATCCCAAGTGACCAAAACAGGACACAGAGGAAAAAAGATAAGCAAAAAGAATCTAATTCAAAATCTTTGAAGTGCCTGTTTTTGACAAACTCTAAGCCAAAATTTCTTCTTCTGTTGTTTCCAAGGAGCCCTCAGCCTCAGTGATTTTATCTTAACTTGGGATTTTCATTGGTACTGACCTGTATCCTGCCAGAATATTCATAAGCGTTGACTTCCCAGCTCCTGAAGGTCCCATAATTGCAACGAGTTCTCCACTGCTGAACTTCCCTGAAATTCCTTTCAAAAGGGTCTTATAACCTGGAAGAAGGAAGAAAAGGTCACTGAACCCTTAATCACATCTGGGGAGCAATGAGAGCTCATTTCCACAGAATATTGGTGACAAATGGGCGTTAACAGCCTCCTGAGAGGCTGATGCCAACATCAGCAAAATAACTATCAAAAGCCAAATTGTGAGTGGGAGCAGCAGCTTCCTGCCATGACACAAATGGAATTACAGGGTCTCACACTCTTGCCTCACTGCAGGATGATTTTTAAATAGAGCTATGAAGCCTTGCTGCCATTCCCTAAGTGTCCCCTCAGAGTATTTTACCAGGATGCTGTTAAAATATCCAATACTCCACAGCTAACAGTCCTGGAGCAGGCTGCCCTCCAGTCACTGCAGTTTCAGTGCCAACTTCTTAGAGAGAGCAACAGCAGAGATCTCAAAGACCTTTGCCTTTTTCCATAAAAGAAACGGAAAAATTGTCTTGTATGACAAGAAACTCAGCAGGAGACACACAAACTTCTTTGTTCTCTTGCCACAAGAACTCTCTTATCAGAGGAACTCTAAAGGCTTTTCTAAACAGGGAGACTGACCCTAGTTACTGTAAAAACAATTTCTAGGGAAAATTTATAGCTAAGCACATGCAGGGTATTCTTCTCATTTGGATTAATCCATTCCAAAACTTCATGCCACTATAATTACATCCTCAGGCAAGGATGTTCTAGACTGATAACACCACCTCTTTCAAGCATTTCAACTTAGTTCTCAGATAATTATCTTTGCCAGTAAACCTTTATTAAAAGCTTTAACTCCATGTTATTCTAAGTGTAAGCAAAACTGTGCTCCAATGAGAATTCCAGATTTGGACCAATAGCATCCCCCTTGCCCTGCAGGATTTCCATGTAAAGGCATAAAAATTGTGTAAGGAATGTGGAGAGAGCCCTGATCTGCATTTACATTTTTCAGGATCTCTTTCCCTTTTGTCTTTTTTTTTTTTTTTTTTTTGTTTGCTTACTTTATTTTAATTACCAGTGTTGTAGCTAAAAGTTGTAGCTAAAGATTTTGATAATAAAAAAAAAAATGCTAAGTAAGGTGTCAGAAGCCAATCTCATATGTTGACAATGTTTATGTGGTTCAATTAAAACTAAAACAGAAGAGTGGAAAATCCATTTAAATGCAGAGTCAGGGTTTGGCAGTCCGTTCTGCCACCCTGGTGGATATGCAAGCAGGATGTACATTCCACACATAAACTATCCCAGAGCTCTGATGATCAGCACAGACTGTAGCTGGAACAAGGAAATACTGTAAAAAAAAACCCACATTGTCTGCAAGCTCCTAGAAAAAAAGAATTGTGGGTTATCATCTGATTTCTGTTTCTTCCTAACTTCATTATTTGTTTTCTTCTCCACTTATTCTCTTTAAATTTTCTTCTTGTCACCATTCTTGATTCACGCTCTTTCTATGCCACAAGAGAGCAAACTTTGCACCAAAAACATTGTCATGCTGCTGTGGGATCTCCCAAATCCACAGCACATCCTCTTCCCTGAGCACACCCCAGCCCAGGGGCAATGCAGTAGCCACAGAACTCTCTAGAAACAGCTAATCCTACTGTTTCCATGGCAGATGTCCTAGAAAATATAACTGACTAAATTGATCAAAATCACCGTTTTCTTGAGTGCCTTTTTTTTTTTTTTTTTTCTTTCTTAAACAGGCCAGTAATTTTTCACTATAAATCTTGTCCTGGACCTAAAGGAAACAACTTGTTTGGAAGCCAGGACATAGCACAGATACAAAAATAGCAGGGTATCCACATAGGCTGTTTATGGCACAAGTCCTGAAAAGGAAAGCAAGGACAATCTATCAAAAGGAACATCAACTTTGGACAGAGAAATCCATGGCACCCCCACAAGGTCAAGCAGCTTGTCCTTCTCACCAAGGCCCCCATCCACAGCAAGATCTGAAGGCAAAGGGCAGGGAACAATCAGGCCTTTCAGATGTGGCAATATTTAATAAACAGGATCTGCAGGGACAAAGTCCGTCATTCTCCCTCTTCAGTGTAATGAGAACCTGCTCCCTCCCAACCCTGTTAAGCATCAGGGACTCAAATATAGAATGAACCCCCAAATATTAGAATGTACCACCATTATTTGCATTAACTCATAACATATTGCACAAACTCATGAGGGAGGATAAAAAGTGTATACTGCCACTACGTGCAACCTAAAATAAGCTGCAAACATGGTAACATAGATATCATTACTTAAAACCGAAACCTTTCCTCTCCCTACATATGACTGTGAGATCTAACATTACACACATTAAAGTCACTTTTCCAGAGTTTCCCAAGTGATGATTGGTTTATCTTTAACTGCAGTATCATCTCCCTCATGACCTTCACGTGTTTCTGTCCCTCTGATAGAGTTTTCCATTTTAAGTATCCTGCACACGATGTTAAATCAGAGCAGGACTCATCACAGAGACACAGAATCAGCTTGAAAAAGACCTCTAAGATCATCAAGTCCAAGCTTTGACTGAAAACCACCCTGTCAACTAGCACAGAGCACTGAGTGCCACATGCAGTCACTCCTTGAACACCTCCAGGGTTGGGGGCTCCACCACCTCCCTCAGCAGCCCTTCCCATGCCTGACCACCCCTTCCATGAAGAAATTCTTCCTGAAATTCTTAGCAAATCATTTGCAATAGAGTAGAGAAATATGCTTTAAGAAGAAATAAAAGAAAAGCCCCAAAAGTATGAATATTAGATTAGGATCCTAATCTCTGGCATTTTAAGTTGCTACAAACTCAAACTCCTCTCCACCTTTGACTGGAAGCGCATAATAAGCTTTTCCATTACAAAGGTTAATTTAGCAAACCCACGAAAAGATTTGACACTGTTGCAGTAGTGTGGTACCCCAGTATAATCCTTTATGAGGAATTAAAGTCCCCTGAGCAGCCACAGCCTCCCCTTTCAGAATACCGAGGCTAATCTTCAACGGAATCAGTTGACCTAAAACTTCTATACGGGGCCACGTGTCTTTCACGAGAAGGAGATTATGCATTTGGAGGGGATTGTGCTCTCACAGCGAGGGCCTGTTCCACGTCCATCTGCCATACATCAGGAATTCCCCCCTGCCTTCATCCCCACCTCGTTTTCCTCAGTCCCTGCAGCAAGGAGTTGGGTATGGTGGAGTTTGATGGGAGGTGGGTCCCCAAAGGCAGCTCACACCAGGTGGGTGCACACCTTGGGCTGTTTGGTTCCAGCACCACAGCAGCTCTCTCCCTTTGGGCTCAACTTACACCAAGAGGAAGTGCAGAATTGGGACTGTTGCCCTGATTTTTAAAAGTGTTAAGTTTTCTTTTGTGGTTCTTCTGAAAGTTCTTTTAAAAGTTTTCTGTGCCTTCTGATGTTTACATATTTCTACTGGAGTTCTCACGCCCTGGTAATGTAAATAATGATTGTTTTGCATTCTTCTTTGTGAGAGGAGAGAACTGATGGACTGTTGGTTTGACCAGTGTGGGTGGAGAAGTAGCAATTTCATCCTCCAATCCACTGTCACTTTTAGAATTCTATATATTCCAAAGTCAGAAATAAAATTAGCTCTTATTCTTTTTTGAATTTACCAAGCTTCTGTGTATTCATTTCATGTCCATTAGCAACATGTGACTTTCTCCTTTTTCACTTCTCCTAAAACTGTTTCAATTTCCAATGGAAATGAGCCTGGATCTTTCAGTTCTCCTATGTCCCCTCCTAAAGTTACTGTGACACAACCTTTAAAATATATATACTTAGGGGCTGATATCCATGGGAATTTTAATACCGGTTTTCAAGAACTACTTAAAATACAGATTTGACATTAACACACCATCATGAACCAGAACAACCCCTCAGCAAATGTCTCAGCCCTACCCCCTGAAAATAGAACACAGCAGAAACAAATCAAACCTGGAACAGAAAATTCTAGTGACACAAAACTTTTTTTGTCTTAATTTCACCTCACATTACATTCTGGAGTTCAAATGCTTCTCCTGAGAAGCAGAATGTGCTTTGTTTTCCCATGTTAGGATTTCCCATAAAATCAAATGTGATATTCAACCACTGTGAAATTTGACCAGGTTCACACTGGAACCACCTGCCTGGCCTGAGCAGACCTCACTTCCAGAGGTGGAATTCCCTCCCTTCCTGGCAGCAGCACAGAGACCACAAAATCTCCTTTTTTCAATGAATGGACAGAGGTGACTTCGTGTCTCTGATGATACTAAGGGAGCTCTCCTTGCTCAAGTCAACAAAATTTCCTTACCACTGGAATCAGCAAGGGAGAAACGTTGATGGTTTTATCTGCTCCCTCATGGATTTTACAGAGATTTATGGGGAAATCTGGTTTTACCATTCCCACAGAAATTACTCTGGAGAGAAGCAAGCCATCCCCTCCTCATCCTCAGGGTAGGAGCAATGCTTCAGGATGTGTCTGAATCAGCACCAATTAAAACATAACCAAAACCCACTCCTACCTCACAGTGAATTTCCTCAGGTAAACACCACCTCTATGTTTTTGACTGAAATGCTTCACTCATTTGCATTTCACTGTCAGTAACCCTCATTTGTTACTCAGAGAAATGTCACACAGACTCGTGGAAGTTTCTAGGTGCTGTAACCTATTTCTGCCTGCATCAGTGGGCAGCCAGACCCCGTCTCAGGTCCCGGCTGAGCACAGCAGGTTTTTCCTGCTCGCTGCAATTAGAGCAGGATTTGCCCTTCCCGAAGTATTTGAACTGCTTTTCTCTCATCACAAGCTCTTCTGCAGGCAGGACATCACTGCTGGTGCCCTGCAAGTGCCACTGGCCTGAAACTGCTCAGAGGTTTGTCAGAGCATTTATTGAAGTAAAAGGTAACATGGGAAATTTCAACTCAAGGAGCACGAGTTTGGCAAAGCTACAAACAACTGGAAACTGAGCCGTAAAGAAATCAGCATTTGGCACTTAAAAATCAAAACCAGAGACATCATAACCTCCTCTTTCCACACTCCTTGACAGGCAGAAATGAAGCATTACTCTATTAAAAATTAAGTAATTATACAAGGACTATATTTCGGCATATTTTTGTGGTGCTTTTTTAGACAGGATGCATTCCTGCTGAGAAATATCCAGCTGGAAATACAGAAGATATCTCTGGCAACTACTGTATTACTTACCTGCCTTCCTTTAATACTTTCAACAAGAAACATATTTTTTAAACAGCAATTTAAATTTACATCTACAAATATGTTATCTTACTGTACTATCAGGCAAATTGTTTCTTAAATCAAGACAAGACACCACAGCAATTTCTTGGCACCATATATTGACCCATTAAAGAATTCCCATTGTATTTTTCTATTCTAAAGTCTATCTGCTCAGCCCTCACCTCACCTCCTCTCACATCAATTAAGAAATCCCCAAACTTATGCAGAAATCCAGGGAATTCTCCAGCACAAAACTGGAATAAGGGTTTGTGGAGCCAAGCTGTCACATCTTTCCCCTTGAGGGAGGACTAAGGAATCCTCCCATAAAGGAAAAATTCTCCTAGAAAATTAATGGCTTTGCTGCTGCCCCTGAGATCCACCAGAGTCCCACCTCCCAAAGGCCATTCCCTGGATTATGAAGTGGACAGCAACTGCACAAGGAAGGGAAAACCAGGATAACTTTGGTCCCATGTCATACTGAAGGGAGGGTTAGTGACTGGTGGCTGAGAGAAGGACCTTGCAGGAGTCCACCCAGACTCTGGAAACATCCTCAGGTGACCTGGCAGGTATTTCATTTGTAGACTCTTCAGATTCCCATCAGAAAACTGAACAGCTGGGAAATACTGGCAGAAACTCTACAGAGAAGCACAAGATGAGAAACACACACAGAGGTTACATCTCAAGGCCAGATTTACATTTGGAGATGTAATGAACCATTAGTTAGGAAACATTTTTCCTTATCATTTTTACATCATCCTTTTCCAGGTGCGAATATGCCAGAAAGTTCTCTTGCCTGCTTCTTCTCAATCTATTACTCATTTTCTGTCTCTCAGCCCTTTTCTCACTCCTCAGAAGCCACCCTCACAGAAAACATCTTACTAGAAGGTACCACGCCAATCTGCTCCATCCAGTGATAAGATGAAGTAACTTAGGGCTTTTCACCTAAACCAACATTAGATCAAAGGCAGGGTGTTTCCCTAAGCTGGAATATAGTCAGGGAGGTGTTTGCCACATATTTCTAATTCTGCTTTAACCAGCCAGGGCACCATGTTCCCCACCCACTGCTTCAGTACAGAGCACTTTCTTCTCCCTGCTATCAGCAGCGTTTGTAGATGTTTCAGTTTGTAAATTCTCAGTTAAAAGGGATTATCTGTATCAGCTGATGATTATTTAAATAATTTGGATTTTTAAAACCCTCTTGATGGGGATTATTTAAATGGAGGTTCCTTTCCCAAGCTCCACACTGAGTTCAAACAAGCTTAAGTTAAAGTGAATTACAGGTACAGATACTTGGGAAGAAAAAAAGCATCTTTTAATTCCCAGAAAATCTGGGGGACAGAAACAGCTTTCCTGACAAACAGAGTGAAAAAAAATATATTGCTTTAATAACAGGCACCTTCCTAATTTTATACTGGTTTGAACTGTACCTCTACAAAGCCTGGAGGGGCAAACTCACACTAGAAATAATAAACATGTTTTGGCCTACCAAATAAAACCTATCAGTGAACTCATATGTCATTGGGTCATAATTTCTGCCAGCCACTGTGTATCAAAAGTGAACAAACAGTTTTCATCAATCATTTTCTCACTCTAGTTTTAGAACCAACACATGCACATATTTCTGCTCTGCTCACACAGTCTCTCAGGGACACTGAACAATGGGATTCTCCACTGTCTAAGCTCTGAGCCCTGCTTTAGGACAATTAAGGGAATTTGCAATTGTAATGTATTCTTGTACCTTGCCTCAGAGAAACGACCTTCGTTATGTAAAATGTCTATAAAACAGAAGGCCAGGCACCAAAACATCAGGACAGAAAGGGCAGAGAAGCCAAGTGAGTGCTTGAAGTAACCAAATCAAGCTCCTCTGTCTCACAGCTTCTTCCAGCTCAGAAATTAGGAGTTCCAGCTCAGAAACGAGGAATTTATTCCTCGCAACCTAAACGAATAAGTCTTTCAAGCTTTAAAAAAAGAAAAGAAATCCCCTTGTAGGCAGCAAAGCTCTTTCTTTGTAGTGGACTAAACTGCATTTCTTAATATAGCCCACAGCCAGGCCTTGTCAAACATATTGCTCTTGATCCACAGCCGATTTCCCACTTAGTGGTCATGAGGTGGATTAGTCCTAACTCAGATGCAGGGCTTAGCCTGTGCTCACAGCGAGGCTTGGGGTTTTCAATCTACCTAATTTGACACATCAAAATGTTTGATGCTTAACCCAAATTCATTTCTAGGGCCCATAAATTATCAGTGGATAGGAACTGGCACACAGAACTGGTGATTAATTCGACTTATTTTGCATTCCTGCTCTGGGAAGGGATAAATAACCCTGTGGAAGTGCCTTTCTCTACACTGGAGTGGGAGTTTAGGACAATTAGTTTAGGTGAGCCTCTCAGTGCTGTGAGAAATCCCATTCACTGCCAAGAAAATGATGGCTGACTTTGGCATCTTTTTTGAGGGTTGAAATGTCAGTTTGATTGTGGTCCCTCATTTGCTTGAACCATCGCAGCACTTGAGCACAGCAATTGCACACCCCCAGTCTTCAGGCTGGATTGGTGTCAGGGTCAAGGACATCCCTCTGGCTGCCCTGGCTGTCTCCAGACTCTGGCAGAGGGCTCAGAGACCCTGGCACAAAGTCAAAAAACACCTGTGGCTTTGATTTTAGCCCGTGGAAAAAACTGCCAACTCTGTATGAGGAATTACAAGCCACAAGGGTTTGAGTAGTGTGATGTTTAGATTAACACAGAGTGGAAAAATAGAATTTTGGGATTTTTTAGAATATAATTCAAGGAGTCAAGATGTAGGGATTTGGGTGTGTCCTAGCCGCCTTCTTCTTCATCTTGTCCTCCATGTCTTGGTGTGATGGTGACACTTTTCAATTGGTTTAAGGTAGAGACACACTGTCTAACATAAATGATAGATATTGGCACATTATTGTAAACAGCCTATATATAACTTTTGATATAAAATGTAAACACCACCCGAGAGGGCAGAGCAGAATGCCATGGCCTCCTTGCTAGCCAGAGCTCGGCAGGTCAGAGAAAGAATGTTATAGATAAGAATAAATAAACAACCTTGAAAATGCAATCAGAAGCATTCCAGACTCCTTCTTTGGCTGTGTCAGGCTAGGAAGAAAAGACTCTTTATGATCTCGGGGTCACCCTGACCTTCAGAACCCCAAGAAATCGACAGATTGAGACACCTTCAGATGCTCCCTGCTCAAGAAGAGCAGCCTGGCCATGTTCAGGATGTACAGAGGTATCAGATGCTGTTTTCACTCTGATAACTGGGGGCAGGTCACACATTTTTTTCTTCAAGCTATCCCCTAGCTCCAGCACAGCCCTGTGCTGGTAGCACTGGGTTTAAAATTACCCAGAACATCTCAGAGCCTGAAAAATCCCAAATGAGCTTTGGAAGACTTTAATCAGAAGCTAAACATTCGAGGACAAACTTAAAAGCAGTTTTTGAATTTTGTTTGTATGAATGCCTAACATTTGACACCACTTCCTCTGTGCTGAACAGCAACTTCCTTCTGTGGCAAGTCAGAAAAACACACAATAAATTGGAGCCTAAAGAGTGATTGTGAGCCCCCAAGCCAAGATTTATGACACAAAATCCCCGGCAACTGTAGGTCATGTTGTATAATAAAAGAGAATGATGAGAAGATGGCCAATCAGGCAGGAAACCAAGTTCTAGCACAGGGAGAATCTTAAACCAAGCTGTAGATTATAAAGAATCTGCAAAGCCCTTTAATTTCATTGTTCTCCCAGATCCATGGACTAGATATTAAACTTATGCAAGACACTGGATGTGACAGTTCACATTGTGCAGTCAAACAAAAAAATCCCTGACTAAGTAAAGATTCCACTCCTTTGAAACTCTGAAATAAGAGTTATGTGCACCATGCTCTTTCTCTGTTATCCTGGCTGCTCATCACATTATTTTAGTATCTGAATGCTGCTCTTCCTCAGAATAACTAATTAGATCTGACACTCTGCTGGGCTTGCAAGCTCTGCAGCCCCCTGATTTTGAATTTGAAAATTTAATAGACTATGCAACCACTCTCCCCTCATTTTGAGAACACACACCTCCAAGAGACAAAAAACAGAGGTGTTTGCAAGTGGACACAGAATTCTGGTCTTCTTGACAAATGTTCCACCAACAGAAGAGAAGAACAAAGTGTCACCAATATTGTGGAAAACCTCCTTGCCCCTGCTACTACTGGTTACACCTCCCCACTGTGCTGGGAGATGGATGGGTTTGTTCCAAACCCCTTTAATTATAAGTTTTTTATGGTTATCACCAGAGCAGAAGCATCTAAATAACCTGTGTCTCCTTGCATTCACCTTTTCTACCTCCCTTTTATTTGGTTCTGCAGCCTTCTGGTGAGGTTTACAGGTGGACTACCATTACATGTGAGTCCAGAGGTCTTATTCTTATTCTTATTCTTATTCTTATTCTTATTCTTATTCTTATTCTTATTCTTATTCTTATTCTTATTCTTATTCTTATTCTTATTCTTACTCTTACTCTTATTCTTATTCTTATTCTTATTCTTATTCTTACTCTTATTCTTAATATATTACTATTATTTTTATTATTGTTATTCTTTTTATGATTGCCATGCTACATTCATGTTAAGATTCAGTTATTGGGTTTTTTCCTGTGGAATGTTTCTGCCTGAGAGAGTTAAAGCTGTTCCTCTTCCCTCCACAGGCACACGGAGCCATATGCCTGCAGCCAGGGATAGAGAATGACAATTAAATAGGTCAACGAACGAAAGTAACCTTCAAACATGAATGCAAATAAATCTCTACTTGCAGCAGGACCTGATGGCTCCAGAAGCAGTATTTACATGTTGAAGCATTTTGGAGATCTGGGGCATAGCTTGTACTTTGCCTGCACAGAAAATAGCTACCCTAATTTATCTTCAACCCTTAGGAAATATGAAAGGAGGAAAAAAAAAAAAAAAAAACAAGAATGAATGACGCACAGCTTCATCTTTCTTCTGAATCTCGTAGAATTGTCTTTTCCAAGCAATACCCACAGCCTAATCTTTCTTTGATAATTGTTTTTTTGCTGCCTTATCTTTTTTTTTTTTTTAATTGCCTTTGTTTCTATTACTTCAGTGCACAGGAAAGGTCTTTCCTGACAAAAGAAAAGCCAACCCAGTTTGAAATGAAAGGCTGACACATTCCCTGGAATGACAAACTGGAGTCACGAGCCTGATGCACTGTGAGATGAAAGCTGTTTATGTGTGACAATCAGGCAGAAAGCAATTTCTCATAATTGCAGTACCTTCATACATCAAGGTACAAATAGTGTTATTCACAGTCTTACAAACAAATAAAACCAGAATCCTTCACAACAGCCCCTTCTCTTTGAAAAAATAAAAATTAAAATCTAAATCTTCAAGTGGGAGATATTCTGAAATATTCCAGCAGCTGTTCTGAGCTGAACTGCCCCATCTGCCTTCCCTGCCAAGCGTGGATGCAGCTGGGTCACCCTGCAGACAGAAAGCCTTCCTCCCTCAGAGAGTTCTGCTCTGGCTCTCCTGTGCTGCTGCTCAGAGTCCCCTTTCACTGCAAATCTCTCCCTTCCTCCTCCCAGCCTCCCCACTCATCTATACCCAGAGCAAGAAGGAGGAAAAGGGAAAAAGCAAAAGTAAAATTTTGGCTCCTTCCTGCTGTCCACCTGTGTAAGAATTAGAGAGGAGCCCTGGGGCTTTCTAGAGTTACAGCAGAAGCAGCTGAAGTTATTTAGCATCTCCTTCCTCCACACTGGGCCTCGTGGCAAGATCTGGTCCAAAGAGCTTGGTGCACAAAGGAAAAACTTCTGTGACCATCATCACAAACTCTAGGTCAAACTGGAATGTGATGAAATGTCTCCTGTAAACTGCAGAGGGAAAAAACCCTTTTCTCAAACTATTAGAAACAGGGTTTTATCTAAAGCAGACTTCTGCCATGGTTCACACGCTCACAAGACAACGCTTTGTCCCCAGCCTTCAGACATGAGGACAGACATTTCTTGGGTTTTGAAAAATGTTTTCAGCCCTAATCACTGCAATTTAAAAGCTGACAGAGAGTTTGGTATCAAGAATACAATCACAGATCATTAGTCAACTTTGGAAACTCAAAATGTTACATTTGACTCCAAACGAATTCCATTTTTTCAGCTCAGTCTAGCTCAGCTGCATGACAGGAACTTTCTCTGAAGAACAGGCGTATCTGTTACAAACAAAAGCCACTGCACAGGGCAGTGCTGGTTCTGGAATGGAAATCAGGTAGAATGAGCACCTTTCAGCACTCTGATTTCTGCTTTTTTTTTTTTTTTTTTTTTTGCATTTGGAGAAATTTTCAGCCTCACAGGGACATACATCCATTGCACTACCATAAACTCCTGAGTTTCCATCTGTTTTTAAAAGCTCCAGCTGACCTACATTTTATGTTATGGATTAGTTGAAGCTTATAGAGTAGCATGAGCAAAGCAGGAGTATTGCTGCTAACCACAATTAAATGTTTCATCAATAATATGTTCCACGGAAAAATCAAGAGTTTTTAAGAGAAAAACTCTTCACACACAAACCAGAAAAAAAAAATTGATATATGTACTTTAATTGTAGTATAAATACCACCCATTTGATTAATTTTGATTTCACAGACTAAAAAAAAAATTAAATGTACACATTAAAATGATTTGAAGTTTAAAAAAAAAGGTGAATTTTGATTCACATTTTCAGGACATACTAAAATAAGGCATCAGAGTCATTCAGCATTTTGGGAATCCTGTCTTTTTGGAGTTATCTACAGAATTATTATTGAAGCAAGGTGGGAAGCAGTAACTCATATCACAAAAGCACGAGTTGCACTTCTACAGGTTTTCCACCTTATTCTGAGGCAGAGAGAAAATTCAACTCTGAGTTTTGGAGGTGGATTTTTTTTTTTTTTTTTTTTTTTGCTTGGTTTTGTTCTTGGCAAACCAGCAACAAGTGACTCCTCACTGAGGTGAGGATGATCCGAGCCTGAGTCCTTGAGTCGGATCAAGAACTTCAGCTTGGGTCTTGCAGAGTTTGAAGAGCCCTGGTCACCCACTCAGCTGGGCTTTCCCAGCTGTAAAATCCTCAACCTAACAAATCTCCTGCATGAAAATGTAGCCAGAGGAAAACACAGTGAACAAACAACAACTTTCTACTCTGATGCACCGTCATTTTCCAACAAAGAGAGGATATTGAGAATTTCCAGAGGGATTTTCATTATAAGCTCATCAGGAGGCCCTCTGTGTTAACAGCTTTTTTTCCCTTGTATTTTTTACCCTGCACTGGTTCATTTCCCAGTAACAACTGTAACATCTTCTGACATTTTCTGTCCTTCTTTACAATTAGGTTATTCAGCTCTTCAGTGAAGAGGCAAAGGGTAAGCTATGGGCTGATTTAAGCTGGCTGACTCAACTGGTCTAATTAGACAGGAGAAATTTGGTAGTAAAAGCAGCTGCTTCCTCCACAAACTGGAAGTCCATCAAAAGAAATGAGCTGTTTTAATGGCCTGAAGACTCATGTATATCATTAGTAAGAGAGACACACTTAAAAAACGCTGGTCTTCTCAAATCCTTCTAATTAGATGTCTCTGTAAACCACATTCCAGTGCACAACTTTTCTCCCAAAGTCAAGGCAGCATGTTTCCATTTTTTCCTGACTACCAACTAAACTGACAAGGGCATTTCAGAAAAGTGTTGCTTGGATGCATTATCAGGAAATTCAACTTGACTTCTCACTTGAGGTTTCTTTATCCCCTTATTACAACTTTGCACCACTGGCAATATATACTATATATAGTATAGGCACCACCTTTACTTTACTCCTTCTCTAAGTTGTTTATCTCTGCTACCTATTAACACATCAGTACACACAGGAAATAAAGAGGAGATAAAGATTCCAGGGTGTTTACACAGTTTTCCCCACAAATACTGTCATTTTAAATGAAATAATGAAGAGACACAGCCAGAAGAATATCCATGTCACCTCAAAAAGTGCTTTGATCCTAAAAATCACAGGCACTGTCCACACTCAGCTCCTGCCAAACAACACAGCACCACTAAAATCCACAGAGTTGTGCTGGTTGAGAGGCTGCCACAGGCTCAGGGATGAAAAGCAGGGATTTGTGGCACAAGACAGACACAAGGCAGTATTGCACCACTCAAAAGAGTGGAAGATGGAAACCTTCCATGTAGTAACACTGATGTGAGGAACTCAGAATATCAGTGTGGGATTTATTTCAGCCAGCTGCAAAGAGCAGTGATGTGAACACTAAATGTGAGCTGTTCTGCTGGCTCTGGCTGGGACAGAGTGAATTTCCTGCAGAGCAGCCCCCATGGAGCAGCTCTGGAGCAGTATTGGTCACAAGCTGAGATTTGGATATTGCTGGGCAGGGCTTGCACCAAGTCAAGGCTTTCTTTTTTTTTTAGAGTGGCCTGGGGCGTGCCAGAAGCTGGGAGGGGACACAGGCAGCTTGGCTTCACTAATTAAACTGTCCTGATCTTCATCTTCATAATTTTCAGCTTTTGCTCTCCCTTGTTCTTAGGGCATGGTGGGGCTGTGTGGATGCTCAGCCACAGGCCAGGGCTATTTCCCCCTAGGAAATGTGGAGACTCACTTGTCTGGCATCTTTTGGATGAAATTCATAGTAACTTACAGTCTGCTGACCATCAGAGAAATCTTTTGTTAATAAAAAGAGCTTAGGGTTGCTGCCTAGTTTGTCCACATGTTCTTACACAGCAGTAACCTACATGGGTTCAAAGGAGTGGCACCTCTGCTGTGAGGAAAGGTCTGGAGAACTGGGATTATTCTCCTGGAAAGGAGAAGCTTTTGTCCACCCAACTGTGGCCTTCCAGTGCCTGAAGGGAGCCCACAAGAAAGATGGAGAGGTTCTGTTTAAAAGGGATGGAGTGACAGGACAAGGGGGAAATCAGCTTCAAATTAAAATACAGTAAATTTAGATTAGATATTAGAAAAAAATTCTTCCCTGTGAGGGTGGTGAGGCCCTGGCCAAGGTTGCCCAGAGCAGCTGTGGCTGTCTTGTTCCTGGCAGTGTCCAAGGCCAGGTTGGACACTGGGGCTTGGAGCAGCCTGGGACAGTGGGAGGTGTCCCTGCCCATGGCAGGGGGTTGGAACAAGATGATTCTCAGTTCCCTTCCAACCCAAACCATTCTGTGATTCTAGGAATGTGTCCAGCCCTGTTTCTCACTGCTGTGAGACACCTGAGGAAAAATTTGCTCTACTACCTATAGATAGAACAGCTCATGCAATCCATGTGGGGTTTTTTTAATACTTTAAAAAGAAATAAAACCTTAAACTGATTTCAAATCTCATTTTCACAGGAATTACACTCAGTGATAAAACAATTGTGGTCTGCCAGGCTACAGACAATTCTCAGGGCAGCATGTTCAGTGCCATATGGGCAATGCACAAGTTCAGAGTTTTGAAGCAATTTTTTTCTAAGCGTATGTGACAGAACAAGGCACAGAAATAACAGCTGTAGTCTGTGTGCAAATGGAAAAATAAGCACCTCTAATATTGTTGGTTTTCCTTTCAGATCTGGCTAAATGCTTTTGATCATTGTGTGCAAGTGATGAATGCATCTTTTTTTGTCCTTGTGCCAACAGGTGAGATTACCTTATTCTGACAGGGGCTGCAGCAATCTGGGTAATGGCACAAGTACAGAACATTGCTGTGTTACCAGATCACAACATTTTCAAAATATTGCCATGTTTTTAAATTCCTGTGTGTATGTGTTAAAACTGAGTCACTGCTCCACTTCCAGTGAAGACCTGAGTGGAACCCAACACGCTGCTTTAAACTCTGCTATCTGCCCCCAACAGATGAGATGCTACTTCTGTACTTGTAATATTTGTATAGTTCTTGTACATTTACAGCTGATATTACTGTTAGCACAGCAGCCTCCACATGGCCTGTTCCCATGCTCTTAGTCTACTGACATCAAATACTAAGCTCAAGATCTTGGAGCAAGGACAGGCTCTTACCTACTCAATTCCTGTCTCCCACACTCTCAATTTATTTGCTGGTGGTAAATTGTCCTTATACAACTGAAGGTTTTGCTGCAGTTCACACAGCACTGCTCTTTAGACCCTCATACGTCAGTAAGGCGAAGGTCACATAGAGTGGTTTATCCAAAACAGAATAAAAATTAAAATTTGGCTTTGCCCACAAAAATCCCATCATCTGTTATGTTAAAATAATGCTTGGAGAAACTGCACAAGGCATGCTCTTGTGGAGGGGTGTTTGCTGAACTTAAACCAGAAAGTATTTTCAGAACTGATGTAGAAGCAAGGGCAGAGAACAGGGCATGAGTCCCAAAGTACAAAAACCCCAAGAATGTCACCTGGTCTGGTGGAAATATCATGGATGGCTCAAAACCAGACCCTGTCCCCATGAATTCCAACAGGGCTGCTCTGTTTCTGTCCCAGCAGAGCAGGGACAGCAGAGGCTGGGGTCACCCCCGGAGATCACCCATGATGGTGCAGGGGGGCAAAAGTGTCTGGAGGCAATGCACATGAGGAGAACATGCAACTGCCTTTGGGGAGGTTTACAGCTGTCACTTTTTCCATCTTGCAAAGCTGCAAAGAAAATGGTGTAGGAGGACGGCTCAGGATTGCTCTTCTCAAAGGCTCCCTCCTGAAATGGGTGCCTACGCTCTAATACTGACTAAGCTGCTGGGCTTTGCTTCTGATCTCATTAGGTAATGATACTGCAAGACAAAAGGAGAGGTTAATCTTGACTATATCCCCCATCTCCTTTCCTTGTGTACAGCTGTAAACACCCTGGAAGCATTTGGAGCCACCTCTTTCTATGTGGTTTTAGCAACAGCAATTGCATGGAGTGGCTGCTGCTGTGGATGGGGGAGCTGGAGGAGGGACAGGTGGGATCATCTTATAAATGGGCAATTCACACCAATCCCGAGGTGTGGGTGAGCCAGTGTGGCCAGCAAAAATGCCACTACAGCTCTAGACATCCCTGTCCCACTCTCCTCACCCCAGTGATGAGTGACCACAGACCACTCCTGCTCACAGCTCTGAGGTGTGTGAGGGATACACGGTGTGGATCCCCTCCAGGACAACCACAAACAGACAATTTCCTCCCCAGCCCATTCTCTTTCCCAGATCAGAGGTGCTCAGGGAAGGCAAAAGCAGCCCCAGGGGAACGTGGGCACCCACCATGTGCAGAGAGTGGGAAGTGCCCTCCAGCTGGAGATTTGCAGTGCTGTTATTTGCCTTCCTGGTGCAGTTAAGGAATGTTTCTAGTCCCCAGAAAAATCAGTCAGAAGAACATCTCTACCATATCCCTGTTCTCTGCACCACTCTCTTGGTGGCTCTTGCAAATCAAAACACATTATTCTACTTAAAACCTCAATATTTTCCTTCTGCAATCCAAGATACACAACTCCCCCCAGTTTTCACCAGCAAACCACTGTTTAAACAAACAGAAGTAGCAGCCATTTATCTGGCACATAAACATATTCCCCTTTACACCCAGCAGGAAAGCAAGCTCCGAAGATGCTCAGCTAATGAGGGAATTCAGACAATGATGTTGGCAGCTGTGAGCAGGCAAAATACCCAAACAGGTCTGAATTGAACCCACCACTGCTACACATGAGAGCTCCAACCAATTCTTACAACTTCCAAAGGAAACAAGAACAAAGCACAAACAATCTCATTAGGGGAGAGAAATGACTGGGAGCAGAAAATTACCCAACTTATGTAATGTAATAAGTCCCTATTGAAAAGCATCTGCAAAATGCTGCCATTTCTTCATGCCATTCTTTTCACCACTGGCACTCAGATAAAACAGCTTCCATTTTACATCCATTTTTCCTGCTATTTTAGCCTGTTATGCTGTTAATCCAGCAGCAACAGACCTGAACCACTTCTAAGCAACCGATACTCTCTTGCTTTCCATTAAAAAAAAAAAAAAATCAGGTTGCTGCTGCTTTCCCATAATTACATCATCTTGTCACTACAAAGGAGGAGGAGGAATATACACCTCGATTAAAATGTTATCTTCAAAGTATTTGTTGCAGTGATATGCAGACAGGTTTTTTTACATAAATAAATATACCTGAGTGTATGTGCATGCATGCATCTAAATATGAAAACAGAGATAACCTATAAATATCTATATATAACCTCTATATATTATAACCTATATATATACATATGTATAGAGAGATATATAGATACAGATAGATGATATACAGATTATATATCTATAGATATATATAGATAGATATATAAATATATAGATATATAGATATAGATATAGATATAGATATATAGATATATAGATATATCGATTATATATAGATATGGCCTGTGTGTCTATATATACTCATATTTACAGGTATCTATGTAGGTAAATTAAATGTACATATATTGAACATATTTATATCTAGAAAGACAAGGCACATACACTATACATGTAATATATTACATTTAGTGCTTTGGAAGGATGACTTCTGATGCTTTCAGACATGTCTATATAGGATGGTCTCTGCTGACACTTTACACCACTATATAAACATGCCTTGAATGCTGGTGACATTCAACACTGACATTTGAAATTAATGTCATTGGTTTCTGTACTTTTTAGAATGCAGTTTTAGCAGTGAAAAATACAAATAAGTGAAAAGGCTTCTTCTGGGTATTAGACCATACCCTTCCTTCATCAAACTTTATTAATTTCTGTTAATTTGGTCCAAAAGGTTCTACCATAAGACAACAGCCCAGGCAGAATGCTGACACCTGTTCCTTGGCTAAACTCTGTCCAGTGTGTCATTGCAGCGATTCCAACATTCATTTGGGCCTGTACTTTTAGAGCAGCACAGTCTGAGCACCCAAGAAGAATTGTAGGTTGGCTTTGAAGTTATTTTTATTTGCTGTAAAACCTGTGCCACCCTTTGTCCCAATTCACTTTGCTGGAGGAGCTTATTTTTACTGCCTGTCAATAATAAGAATCAAAATATGAGTTCTAAAATGCCACAGTCATGCCCTATATGGGAAGGTCTGCTCTATTTTTATTTGTTTGGTTGATTTGATAATGCAAATAGAATGTATGGGATTCAGTAGGCTGATGCCTGTGTTTCTGCTTGGAGACTAAAGAGTAAATCTGTTAAGTATTATCATGTATATTCAGAAGTTTCATCTTTCTTTTGGTGTCCCCAGATGTCAGACTACTGCACAAGGCAAAATCATCCTCCATAAACACCAAGTCTGACAGCAACCCCAGGGTTCATGGACTGGTGAATACTTCAGGTTATGTATTTCTCCTTCAGGTTTACATCACTGTTCTCCCAGACCAGAAATCAAGCATCAAATCCTCCTTCAGGGATGTATGTCAAGCTCCTCGGACTGTTTGTGATATAGCACCTCACACATATTGTCATAACTCAGCCTGTAAGACAGCAGAACATGATTTATTGTAATCACAAGTGCAGCAGCTCCATTCCCTATTTGCAGTCACTCACAACTTTCCTGAAACTTTTATAGGAGAGGGTGAAAATGTGCCTAATGTGAGTTCCACTTCAGTGATGATTTACACCACAGGGAAACTTTCCATGGGTTTAAACAAAGGACTGGCCAGCCATATTATTTCATTTATTTTTCAGTTCAAAGCTTAGAAAGGTCAAATCAGCCAAGAAGGTCTAAAAATGTTTTTTGCTCAGTTGTGTGATAAAAGGCCAGTCAGAGTGAGCAAAGAGACTGAGCTGAGGCTCAGAGGACACAGCCCCCTGAACTGGCCACTCTGGAGATGCTAAAATGGAAAGCACAGGACTGCTGTTCCTGGAGGAAAAGCTACCAAGATGTGTCCACAGGGAAATTCTCTCTGTGGAATGCTGAACTTTACCATGCCCTGCAGGGGGAACAGGAGTTTGGGATGGTGTAAAACCAGCCATGGGAATTACAGAGTGAGAAACATCCA